CGGAGAGTCGAAAGCCGAATTCACTTAAATAATCAACTTTCATAATACTTAATTAATGCCTAATTGCAACTGATTACTCCCCGAATAACAAGTTGTCTTAAAACCCTGATGTCATTGCGCCTGACGGTAACACTCAGGGTAACAGTTTGGCAGGAGGGAGGGGGCGGGCGGGCGCCGCGCCGGCGCCCGCCGCGCGCCCCGGGCGCCAGCAAGAGGGTGCCGGCGGCGCCCGAGCCGCCCGAGAAGCGCTTCCTGGCCACCATCGACGACGTGCTGTCGGCGCGGCCGGGGGCGCTGCCCGAGGACGCCGCGCCCGGCGGCGGCCAGCCGGACAGCAGCAAGCTGCCCCTGGGCATCCACCAGGCCAAGAGCCACCGCAGCATCCTGCTGCTGGAGGACGAGCCGCGCAGCCGCGACGAGGCGCCGCTGTGCACCATCGCGCACTGGCAGGACTCGCTGGCCAAGCGCTGCCTCTGCGTGTCCAACATCGTGCGCAGCTTGTCCTTCGTGCCTGGCAACGACGCCGAGATGTCCAAGCACCCGGGCCTGGTGCTGATCCTGGGCCAGCTGATCCTCCTGCACCACCAGCACCCCGAGCGCAAGCGGGCCCCGCAGACGTACGAGAAGGACGACGACGAGGACCAGGGGGCGGCCTGCAGCAAGGACGAGTGGTGGTGGGACTGCCTCGAGGTGCTGAGGGACAACACGCTGGTCACGCTGGCCAACATTTCCGGGCAGCTGGACTTGTCCGCGTACACGGAGAGCATCTGCCTGCCCATCCTGGATGGCCTGCTACACTGGATGGTGTGCCCTTCGGCAGAGGCGCAAGACCCCTTTCCCACCGTGGGGCCCAACTCGGTCCTGTCGCCCCAGAGACTCGTGCTGGAAACCCTCTGTAAACTCAGCATCCAGGACAACAACGTGGACCTCATCCTGGCCACGCCGCCCTTCAGCCGCCAGGAGAAATTCTACGCGACGTTAGTTAGGTACGTTGGGGACCGCAAGAACCCAGTCTGTCGAGAAATGTCCATGGCGCTCTTATCGAACCTCGCCCAAGGGGACGCGTTAGCCGCGCGGGCGATCGCTGTGCAGAAGGGAAGCATTGGGAACTTGATAAGCTTCCTGGAGGACGGGGTCACGATGGCCCAGTACCAGCAGAGCCAGCACGGCCTCCTGCACATGCAGACCCCTCCGCTGGAGCCCCCCAGCGTGGACATGATGTGCAGGGCGGCCAAGGCGCTGCTGGCCATGGCCAGGGTGGACGAGAACCGCTCCGAGTTCCTCTTGCACGAGGGCCGGCTGCTGGACATCTCGATATCGGCGGTCCTGAACTCCCTGGTGGCGTCTGTCGTCTGTGACGTACTCTTTCAGATCGGGCAGTTATGACCCAAGTGAGGCGCAAGCACTCGTGGGTGTAGATGGCCGCCTAGCGCCGCTGCCCGCCTTCTGTCCTTGTCTATCCAGCGGGAGGAAGAAGGAGACGCAGTCTTGCTCCTCTGCCCCCTTCACTATTTACCAATTGGGAATTAAAGAAATCATTCATTCGAACAGTTATTGAAATCAATATTTGCCATCTCTGTGTAAAAGTACATGTCTTTAAAACACACACACACACACAATTTTTTTTTAACCAAAGTTGCTGTCTAATGCATTCAAAGGTCACTTTTGTTTCTCATAGAGTTTCCTTTTGTAGTCGTTCTTTTTCCATGTCGTATTGCTTTTTTATTTTTATTTTTAAATTCTGAGGAAGCAAATTGACTCTAGAGAAAAATATTGTGGTAACATGTGCTACGGTGGGAAAACTTTACCACATCGAGGCCAAAAGGGTGAAAGACGATCCATTTCCTACATGTTTTATTTTTTTAAGATCAGGAAAAGAAACAACAAAAACCCTGTTATCCCATCACCCCCAGCTCTGTGCAATAGAAACTTCTAGAGATGTGGGGATCGGAGCTCAAGGTCAGTCAGTTGTCAGACTTTGAAATGACAAAGCTGGTCTCTCCACAGGAAAATGGTTACATTAGGCCAGGCGCAAAAAATAGTCATTTTCTACGTTACGATTGAAAATCCGGACCTGACCATGGTGATCAGTGACCACCTGCTTCCTCACCACTCTAGCCCCGTCCGCTGTCTGTCGTCCGACCTTCCACATGGCAGTTTTCACAATTCCTTTCATCATTTAAAAAAAAAAATTTTTTTTTACTGCCTATGGGCTGTGATGTATATAGAAGTTGTACATTGAACATACCCTCATTTTTTTTTCTTTTTTTTAGTACAGAGGTTTTTGTTCGTTTCTTTTTCAGGATGTGGTAACTACAAAGTGATGGTAGATTGAAATAATTTTTTATTTTTATTTTATATATTTTTTCATTAGGGCCATAGCTCCAAAAAGAAAGAAAGAAAGAAAAAGAGGGGGAAAAGAAAAAAAAACAAAAAAATAATAAAAAAGAAAGAGGGTAATGTACAAGTTTCTGTATGTATAAAGCCATGCTCTATCTCGGGAGAGCAGCTGGTCACAGTTTGCTTCATGGATCAAGGTGTGGAAATGGTTGCATATACGGATCGATTTAGGAAATGGTTACCAGTACAGACAAAAGAAAAAGAAACACAACTAAAAGGAAGAAACACAACTTCAAAGATTTTTCAGTGATGAAAATTCACATTTGTATTTCAAGATAATGTAGTTTAAAAAAAGAAGAAAAAAAAAGAAAAAAAGTTGATGTAAATTCCTCCTTTTCCTCTGGCTTAATGAATATCATTTATTCAGTATAAAATCTTTATATGTTCCACGTTACGAATAAATGTACATTAAATCTTGTTAAGCACTGTGACGGGTGTTCTTGAATATTGTTCCAGTTTCCTTCCCGTGGTTTCTAGTGAGCAAGTGGACAGAGGGGTGGTTAGTAACCCAGGGACCGAGAGGAAATGACAGTGTGCTCATCGGTCCCTCCTGTGAAGCACTAAGAGTGGCAGGGACTGGCGGAGGTTACCTACTTCAGCTTGGGGAGCAGTGGTATGGTGTTCTCAAATTACTGAGCTAATTAGCCTGCCTTTGAAGCAATTAACTCCAAAGACATTGAAGTATGCGAGTTCTCAAACTCTCGGCACGAGGGGGCTGCCAACCCCCCTGAGAGGCAGCCTCGCCTGAAAGCGAACAGCTGGCCCTTCACCTCAGAGCATGACCTCGCCCCTCTCCTCTGTGTACCTCAAAGTCCGTGTGCTCTTGATTCCTCTACCTGCGTGACATCTATCGCGCAGTGTTAAAAATGCAAACAGCAAAAATCTGTTCTATTATGTGTGCTGTGCAAAGTGAGTATTTCTGTCTCAGGGCATATTGATGTCTCAGAGTCCTTCCTATCTGACTACACAGTAGCCTTTAAATGCATTTCATCTCCCACGTAAACTAAGGTGACCAGACATCCCACTGTTGGCAGGACAGTCCCGCTTTTTGACAGTCCCGCTTTTAAACAGTGTCCCGCGTCCCGCCGCGTGTTTAAAAAGTCCTGATTTTTGGAAAGAATGCTCGACAAGCTAGGGAAACGGCAGGAGAACTGGAAGACCAAACTTTTAATCTAGAACACCCCACCGCCTCCCATACCCCCGGTTAATGGTGTCCCGCTTTACCAATGCTTTACCGATGTTAAAATCTGGTCAACTTCATGTAAACGTTCTCCCTGGGGTCATTGACTGACTGTGGAACAATCACATCTCTGTGCAAGTGCTGCGTGGTCACGCTGTTAGTGAGCACGGCTCACCCCGTCTCCCTCTTCACTGCACCCTTCCGTCACAGTCGGTGCCACCGAGCCCCAGTCCTCTAGACATACCTGTCGCGTTGGCTCCCATTCCTCACAGGCAGAGAAGGGAGAGTTAGATAGACATGGGTTCTAATCAGTGTACACTGGGACATGCTAGTGTCACACGGAGAAGAAACAAATCCCCCCACCCCCAGCAAGCATCCTCCTCATCTATCACCTCCCACATTACTTACTCTTAACAGCCGTCTTCCAGGACAATGTAGCCAAGTATGTGTCGAATTAAAATCCCATGTATAGTTCTCCTTTAAATACATCTGCTTGCAAAGAACAGCTTGCTCTGCTCCGAGCTGGGAATGCGGCCATGTGTTAGGATGCCCCCTGTTGCTGGGATCTCTCTATCTGAGAGTGTGAATCAATGGTATACAACCCGGAAGTGATCTAACACCCTCACACACACCCCACTTAATTGTTTTCTTGATCAATCAAAAAAGTAAAAACCCTTCTGAGACCAATGTCATGGTTTAGGTTATACTCTAAGTTCTTTTTTTTTTTTAATCATTTTATTGGGGGGCTCATACAACTCTTATCACAATTCATACATCAATTGTATAAAGCACATTTGTACATTCATTACTCTCATCTTCTCAAAACATTTGCTCTCCACCTAAACCCTTGGCATTAGCTCCTTATTTTCCCCCCTACCTCCCCGCTCCCACCTCCCTCATGAACCCTTGATCATTTATAAATTATTATTTTATCATATCTTACACTGTCTGACGTCTCCCTTCACCCACTTTTCTGTTGTCTGTCCCCAGGGAGGGGGTTATATGTAGATCCTTGTAATCAGTTCCCCCTATCCACCCCACCCTCCTGGTTTCACCACTGACACCACTGGCCCTGAAGGGATCATCCGTCCTGGATTCCCTGTATTTCCAGTTCCTATCTGTACCAGTGTACATCCTCTGGTCTAGCCAGATTTGTAAGGTAGAATTGGGATCATGATAGTGTGGGGGAGGGGGGGCGAGCATTTAGGAACTAGAGGAAAGTATGCACCAAGTTCTTAAAAGCACAGAAACTCTGAGAGCCCGGGACTTGTAGGAAGGAGCCCATGGTGACCACGTCTTGCCGACGGACTGAGTGACTGCTTCGTGCCCTGAACTAGTTGATTCTCTTTCCTCTTTTTGGTTTGGTTTTCTGTGAGACTTCTGAGATTTACAAGATGCCCATACTTTAAAATGTGCACAAAAGGAACAAAACGGGGGTGGGGGGGTGGGGGGGGGCAAACCAAGTGTCATCTTTGGGAATGGTGCCATCTAGTTGAGTGTTGCTATTTGGAGTGGATTTGCTGCTATTTGGAGTGGATTTGCTTAATATCACCAGAGAGATTGCCGAGTGGTATCGTCTCAGAAGTCATTTGATACCTTTTGTTTGATAAGGAATTAGTGTTCATGATGCACTTGGCAAATTAAGTTTGTTTTCAGTTCTAAAGGAATTGAGGTGTTTGGATTTTTTCCTTCTGTGTGTGTGTGTGTGTGTGTGTTTGGGGGTGGGGGTAGAGGGTACACAGGTAGTCTTGTGATTTCATGTGAGCTCTTCACTACCTCCCTCCCTTAGGAAGCCCTCCACTTGAACCATTGAAAACCTGTCACGTCCACATCCCTCAGACCCCACAGGCTGCAAAGAAGCTAAGAAGGTGTCACGCACGGGAGCCCCAGTGGCCCCCGCGGCCTGTTTAGCTGTGGGGCAGGGACAGGCCTCAGCTGGGTCCTGGGAACCTCCCCCTCGTGATCAGCTGAGCTTTCAGAAACGTGAATAAGTGTCGGTGGTAAAGGTGTAATCTGCTAAGACACCCATAGTGCGTTCCTTCTTCGGAGACGCACGTGTGTGTGCCGCCACCCACCCAGCCCCCCGAAATAGGCTGAGGCCCACCAGCCTACCCACAGTGGCTGCTGCTGTTGCTTCACGTCAGACGACTAGAAACAAATTCATCTCCCCAAACAGTTGTCTGCATTGAAAACCCTCGGCGCATCTCTCTCAGACACGAAATGAGGACTGGAGGCCCGAGCAATGGCTTCGGCGACAGTGGGGCCTAATAAGGAAGTGGGAGAAGCGACCCCTTCCTGCAGGGGGTGGAGGGCCACAGAAGTCAGCCACCTGTCCCCAGGGAAGTCCTGGAAGTGGCTGAAGCCCCGCTGGTGGCCCTTTGTGCTGTTCATCCCAGCACCTCCTGGCTCCGCGCTGAGCTCTGCCCCTGGTGGCCGGTCCTGGTTCTGCGTTATGGCCAGTGGAGCCCTGCAATCCCTTAGAGCCAAGCTACCAGACCGTTTGACCAGGGGCCCGGGAAGACTCTTCAACGGGCCCCAAAGGTCTGAGGCTGACTGCTCAACTGGCTGAATGAGACTTTAAGAATTTACAACATGGGCAAAAGTCTCTCAAAGTGTATTCTAAGAAACCCCATTACAAACAAACCCACTGCCAGCCAGAGAGTCCATCCCCACACATACTGCCCCTGTGGGGCAGAAGAGAACTCCTTAGGGTTTCAGAGACTCCGACGTTACATGGTGCCACCATTCTGTTAGCCCAGTGCCCAGCTCACTGGGCACCTGCGCTTCTTCATTCTAAGACGTAAGAGATCTGCCCCCCAAATGTACACCGATCTATAATCTCACCTTGTGAAAGACCTGGAGCCCAATTCTCCCAAGCCTTTCCTGACGTTAATTAACCTTGGAGTTCTCTTCTTAAATCCCATAAACATGCCACGGGGCTTTGGGAGATGCCCGAGTTTGCCAAAAGCTATGACCAATTTGTCTCCCACACTCTCCTCTTGTTCTTGCCCCCGAGTGCCTTCTCCCAGAGACGGACACTGAGGTGTCGTCGAAGGAACATGAATGGATCTTCTCTTGTGCCATGTGACCTTGGGCAAAGTACTTCAGTCATTTGAGCCTCTGCATCCTCCCCTGTAATCGGGAAGGAACACGTAGTTCACAGCATTACTGGATAGTAAAGGATACAGAATATATCAAGACCTTGGGTCAAAAGGCATCGGTATGTATTGATTCTCAACATATGTCCCTCCCCACTCCCTCAGGTGAGCACCATGGAGAATGTAGTTTTAAAATCGGGCCTAAGAGATTCCCTGTCTTCAGTAGCCAATTGCTAACCCCACTTGTGGCTTGAGCCTGGTTTTCTAGTCAAAACCATACAGGTGTAATCTGTTGATCCCCTGTGATTTCTCGTGCTGAATGTCAGTTTGAGTTGTTGACTGGCGAGTTAGGGGAGCTCCTCGCCTTCCCTGTGGAGACCTGGGGGAACAGAGCCCTAGAAGACAGTAGTTGCCTTATCCTGTCCAGTGACACCTTTCAGTGATGCAGGTGGCCCGGCACGGCACGGAGTCGCTCCTTAGCATCTGAGCTCCACGACAGACCTCCCTGAGCTACTGAGCTGCCCACATCGCCCAGCGCAGAGGTGGGTGGGACCTGGCTCGGCCATCCATGGAGTCTCAGCAGACTTGTGGGCCTTAGTGGCCCAGCATCCTCTACAACAGTGGTTCTCAACCTGTCCACCCTTTGGGGGTCGAACGACCCTTTCACAGGGGTCACCCGATTCAAAATAGTAGCAAAATGACAGTGATGAAGTAGCAGCGGAAATAAGTTTATGGTTGGGGGGTCACCACAACGTGAGAACCTGTATTAAAGTGTTGCAGCATTAGGAAGGTTGAGAACCACTTGCCTTCTGTGGTCCCTTTGAATTGGAATGAAATTGATGACATTTGATGATATGGATCATAACAAATAAGCTCGTTCCCGGCCCCTCCCCCCCCCCCCCCCCTGGGCTCCTGCAGCTGGGTGAGGATACGGCAGCTGTGCCTGCCCCTCCAGCCCCGCTCAGCTGTCCTCCACTGCCCAGGATGGTGGAGGGGGCTCCAAGCCCGTGCTCCAGCCCTGTGCAAGCCTGCCCTCGCATGTCTCCCCTGCAGGGTAACCGAGGACAGAGCTTGGGCTGCCCTGGGTCTTCCGGGTCACATCCTCGTAAATCCATGGTGACAGTTTGCCCTTGCAAACCGTCCAGTCAACATC